TACTACATCGAATCGTCGTTCTTAAATTCCAGCACTGTGTTGCATACTAGATTATATCTCATCTGGTATGTTGTATTTTTTACTAGAATCTGAAAAGCCTGGATTAAAGAACAAAAAGAATATAAAATAACAGACAACTTTTTGACCAGTAATTGTAACCTTTGCATCGAAACGCCCATGCTTTGATTAAACTAATACTGAAGCTTAACAGCGGTGAGTTAAAACCAGATATGTTCATCACCGGCATTTTTGGTAGCCAAGCATGTGAATCCTTATTTCGGGCTGCCAGATCCATGACTTTTACGTATTCAACAATAATACATTTTAGTATAAAGGATATGCTGAACCGAATTAAGAGAATTAAGACAACTGATACCATAAACAATCTGAGGGGGACTTTTACATTTCCAAGGGAAGACAAAAGATTAAAAACCAGACTAATAAAAGAAAATTTACCACGTGAAGAAGAAATTTTAAATTTGGATATCAAATCTACAGTTAAAAAAGCTCTACAAAATGTCATAGAGGACATGAAACATCTTGGAATTAATGAAAAAGAAAACGATTGGAAATATATGCAGGTAGGTACCGTTACAATTACACAGGATAATGAAGACGCCGACGAAGACAATGCTAAAATTGTCGAAAACCCCGAAGAAAATTGGCAAAAACAAATATTAGTAATGAGGACGATAAAGTTATGGATGAAGTTATGGACAATTTCGAACGAGATTTCTAATGAAGATAGCGAATGTGATACTTTGGAAACGAGTTTTATAAGTTTAAAAGACTTTTCTAAAAAAGTGCACAGTGAATCGGAAAAATCACCGTACCTATATAATATTATATATTCAATTATTAAAAAATCATCGTACTGCTGGCTTTTAGATCAGTCCGACGGTAGAGTAAGTACTGGCCGATCAAAAAGATTTATAGGCAGTACAAGGAAAACACCGAAGAAAACACCTTGCAAAAATTCCAAGTCGACCTTGACTATAAACAGAAGCTATGCATGGATCAAGCTAGTAGCTAGTAGCACAAGCACTGTATCCTCCTCCGACTCTATCGTGATGGAACTCGACGACTCCGATGATTTGGAGGAGTTTTCAGATGAGATCTTGTCGTATAAATCAGAAAATGTATCGAAATTTGCCGGACTCGAGTTACACTATTATGCGGTTTTCTATGACCAATCGTGAGCTTTGCTGCACGAGCGAGGCGAATGTAGAATACACTATTTAGAAATGGCCGCCTTTCACCACGAAATATGTACACTATTTTTTATGACAAAATGAAAATTCGACTTTCGCTGCCCTTTAAGAGAGAAAAATTGTTAATATTTAAGTTAATTCATAAACAAAAATATACCAAACTAAAGACAATAATTGGCTTAATTAATAATATTAATTATTAAAGAACTTATGTTAAGCAAAAGTCGAATTTATGCTGCTAGTGTCATGAAAAAGCATTGATTAATATAATACTTTTCTTTACGATTTTTCAAATTTGCTTAATAAAAGTGTTGCTGGGTAAAAAAGTTTTGCTAACCAGAAAACGTATACTTTTCTTTACTATTTCTCTTAGTAAGGTAAGTATGCTATTTTTCATTAAGAATACGAACAAATATAGCCTTAAAAAATATACCCTTCAAAATAATATTAATGGTAATTATTTATGTTAAAATGTATAGCAAGAAAAAAATAGAAACTAAAACCTTGAAGGTTTAAAAAATAATAGGGATATTTAAAATTTAATATAAAATTAATTAAAACTTTTTAAACCTCACATTTCTAATACAGACATTATTTTATAAACATGCAAAATATCAATATTAAAAATTACATAGAAGAAAAATCACATGTTAAAAATTCATTTATATCTTATTAAAGTTGACTCGCTAAATACCGTATTTCTAGGAGACGCAATAAGGTCGCGAAATGTAATGACGCAATATTGTATTACGTATATATATATATATATATAAATATATATAAATATACATAAATATACATCCTTAGTACAATATTGCGTCATTACAATTTGGCAACACTGTAGGACGCAATAAAGTCTGTACAAGCCATATAAAATTTAAAATGAAATATACACGTGACGCAATATTATATCAAGATTAAAATGAGTTGATAATGTAGTGACTTTTGAAAAAAAAGTGTATATCTTATTTTTTAAGATAAAAAAAATCTGACCAGATTTTTGGAATCAGCAAAAAAAAGTACGCCAATATACTCTTCTATATTTTCGCTAAATATCGTATTTCTAGTAGACGCAATAAGGTCGCGAATTGTAATGACGCAATATTGTATTAGGGATGTATATATATATATATATATATATATATATATATATATATATGTATATTTATATTGGTTATTAGTAAGATGAATATATATATATATATAAATATACATATATATATATACATATATAGCGAATTGCTGTGGTATTTTTCACTAGAACACATGTTAAGCTTACTGTTCCGCATTAATTTATAAAAAAAAATACATTTATGTGTATATCTCCACAACGGCTACATACGCGATTTTAATTTTTCTTGCAAAGTAAAGCTAATAATATCACTATTTAAAAAAAAAAATGTTTGGAAGATTATATATTTTGTAAGTTGAAAACGCCAAATGTACCAACGTGAACGAGATCAATGAAGCCGAACATAACACAGGTTCAATCGCAGTCACGGTTAATGACCCGGAAAGCTAAGAGGGTATATAAACAACGATCAGCGGCAACGAAGCTCACTCCACGTCTAACTCGCAGCGGAGCAGCAGCCCAGCAGATAAGACCTGAAGATGGTACATGAGATTGTTCCGAAACGTCGTCAGACATGCGGTTCTTTTAAGAACCTAAAACCAACAACACGGAGCAGATCCCGAAAAACAACCATATATATACAGGGTGTCCCATAATTAGTGCGACAAAATGAAGGTGTATTATCTTAAGACCCCCAGGAATTCCAGAAAATTGTTTAAAAAATTCTTTCTTCATTATTTAATAAGATACAGGGGAGTCATATTTTCTTTATAAGGCAACATTGCCTCATAACAAAGTAATAGTTTAATTCTTAATCATCATAACAACAAACAACAATGTTAGAAAATGCCAAATTTAAATATCAAAATTTGTTACTTTAAGTTATAGGTTATTTATTTTACGTCCGCATATTGAATATGAATAATTTGCATTCTGCGTAAATATTTTACATACACTGCCCGTCAAAATTAACGCATAATATGAGTATAACCGGCCCCATTGCCTAATCGCTCCCGTGCCCCTTATAGGCCTCTGTTTCCTTGCGCCGATTTTCTTTCGCCACCAGCAACGACGCGGCTTCACCCGTGTTTGCTGGTTGCGAATGTCCATTGCGTCCCGTACTGTCCCCTAATTAGGACTCGAGAGCGAAATGGAAATAGTTTTAGTAGCCATTTCCGGGTTCGCCGAGCTGATGCTATACGTCCAGTAGGGTAATGAAGGAGGTAGAACTGGAGGGATAGACAGTTTGGTGTTTGGGCAAAGATTAAATATACTCTTTCTTTCTCTTCTTTTTCTTTGAGAAAGAGTATATTTAATCTTTGGTTTGGGGGACAATTACGCCGACTTAAATCTAAGTACGACACGGTACCCTCCTAGACCAGGCAGTTAGTATTACTCCAAACATTTGGGATTACTGTATGGAGTTCGGGAGTTCTTATTTTGCTGAAGGAGCCTACGTCTTGGTCTACGTTTTTGTCGTTATCGTTCGTGTCCAAGTAGGATTGTTCCTGCACATGTGTCTTCAGTCTTGAGGCTAAAAACCATCAATAGATAGTTTAGTAGCTGGATATGTAAGTTGTAGCTTTTGATGTTTTTTTAATTGATTATTGCGCCGCAGTAGTGCGAAATTTCTAACAATTTTTTTTTAGTTATTGTGTGTTAAATGTTTATTATTGGTCTCCTTTGGGTTTCATGCGTTACGCATTTGATGTTGACAGATTTATTGTCCTACACAGCTTTGGTGTATCACCGCGATAGTTCGATTGGAAAGTTTTGTTTTTTTATTGTTTGTCTTTTTTCTTTATTATTTTATGGTGTTTGGTTAGTATTGTCTTTCTAATGTTTCTATTGTTACTGATGTTTATTGTTTTATTCCTAGAGTTTAAGCAGTGTGTCTTTCTTAGGGTTTTAAAGATATCTGTCATGTTTAATTTACAAATTATGTGTTAGGTCATGCATATGCTTAATTAATTAATTAATAAGTAAAAAAAATTTAACTCTAAACCGCCTTTACCAATCTTTATAAAATTTTGGATAAAAACACTTTAACTTATATCTCAGTTTACGTGTTCAAGGGTTTTTCGAAAAAATATCCTTACATTTATTTAATAATAAAAAAACGCCCTTTTGTAAGGAACTTTTTTTAAATAAATAAAAAATATGCTGTGAAATACCGTATTTTTGTAAGTATACCCTAAAAATGTTGTACAAATCAAACGAACAGTAACGAAAATACAGCGCTTTAAAGTCGTCAAAAATGACCACCTTTGAGCAAAATAATCAAAAAGGGGTAATTTTTACCGACTGTTACTGTTCGTTTGATTTGTACAAAATTTTCAGGGTATACTAACAAATATTTTCTCGAAAAACCCTTGAACACGTAAACTGAGATATAAGTTGAAGTATTTTCATACAAAATTTTATAAAGATTGGTAAAGGCGTTTTAGAATTAGAATTTTTTTACTTATTATGCGTTAATTTTGACGCGCAGTGTATGTCAAAAAATTTAATTTTTAACTTCTTTTCACACTAACTACTAAAAAACCTGCAATTTTATGCTTGATATTAATTATTTTAAAACATCTATTCACAAAATTTGTAATATGATTGTCTCAATAAACATTGTAAAATCCGAGTGTGCTAAAATGTGTGAACTCATAACTGCTTGACCGTGAAAGCAGAGATTTTCAAATTTATATGAATGAATTATTACTTACCAAAACAGGTCTCCATTACTTCCAAATCCAGAAATTTATCCATTAGTTTATATGAGTAAATGTTTCTTAAACCAAGAAAGTTTAACGCACAAATTAGACATCTTGGGTATTTCATTATTTCATTTTCCCTTTGCGGACTTTCCAGTTCTTCTAGGGCTGCCTATAAGGTATATTATTATTAAACAGTGTGTTTTTGGTAAAACAAAATATTACCGTAAATATATCTCTATCTGTTTTTGGTTCAAAATCGAACATAGCCAAGCCGTTTAAAATTCTTTCTATATCTTTTAGACGGACCTTGTTTGGGTCGTTTATATCTTTTAGTATTCTTTCGGCAGCTTTCTGTAGCGATTTTTTATGAAAGCTCATGATACTAGTGCCTGTTAAAGCTATGTGTAACACCGCCAAATTCGATAATCGATCGGTTTCATCTGATAAAACATCCAAAGCTTTAAAAATGTTGGAAGCAACTTTACCAGGCCTTGTAAGTCGTATAGCCTACGATATTAAGTTTATTTTAACGTGGTACCTAGTACACAAGGTGTAAAATGCCAATCGGGAGTTTGCATTTACAAAACAGTCCCATTTTAAATTTAAAACGTATAATCGACGGCAAAAATAACACTATCGAAAATAGATGTTTTAAATGATAAATTGCTACCCTAGAACAACAGGGTTTAATCTAACAAATTTTACATCTTGTGGTATAAAGGTTTGTAATACAATTACTTGCAGCGTAAAATTCGAGCCAACGTTAACATCTATAAAATTTATAAGAAAAGTTTACGTTATCTCGAAATTTAGGCTGCACGTACAGGGTACCCAGTATGTGTTCCAAAATTTGGATTTTAAACCTTTATAACACCAAATGTCCAATTTGTCAGATGGAACCCTGTTCTAGGGTAGCGAAATATCAAAAATTAAACTGCAAGTTTCTACAAGAATAAAATTTGACAACATTGTAAATTTAAGTTCTGTCAATTAACACTGTGACAGTTTTTAAAGTGTGCTATAAACCGAGGGGTAAACCACTTTAAAATCTTAGAGTCCAACGTACTATGCTCCACACCTCAAAGTCCCACCACGTGACCACGTACGGAACGCAGTCTTTTGAAAATTTGGCATTTAAGGCTTTTCAGGTTATGTATCTGTCAAAGTGTAGTCAACGAAATAAATAATATTTATAGTGTTACCGCTTATGTTTAAGCGTTAAATGTTAATAAATCTTTATAGTATCACAATAACAATGATTGGTTTAAGAATGTAGGAATATAAATACTGCATTTAATGAAATTCCTAAGTGTAAGGTGCAATATAAGTGATATTTTTGTGCATTGGGTCTACATTTCTCCATAAAATAGTTTTAACTAAACAGCATTTATTAAAAAAATCTAACTTTTCTATTATAAAATAAGAATATCTGTATCAAAGGTAGGTTAATGTATTAGAAGAAAAAATATCATCTAATTTTGTATTTTAAGGTTAGAAAAATCTATTTTGACCAAAATAAATAAGTGGATTATTTGAAAGAGTGTGTTAATATGGTCATAAATAAATATAGGTATACTAAATAATTGTTGAATATAGTTCAAATTAAATTGAAGCTTTTATACTTCTAACGACAAAACTTGTGCATACCTCTCGGCATACATACTTTAAGTTAGATTATAAGAAAAGAACCAATTTTTAGAGAAACTTGCAATGTGAAAATATTTAATACTCATGACATGTGATTTATTAAAATTTTTAAAGTTATAATTATTTTTTGATGTAGATCAAATTCAGTCGAAGCTTTTTAACTATTTGTATTGACAAAACTTTATGTAGGTATACTTTAAGCTGGATAAGAAAAACTACCACATTTTTAAGTACCATATTATACAGTCTTTTAAATAATCCAAAATACTTATTTATTTTGGTCAAAATAAATTTTTCTAACATTAAAATTACAAAATTAGATGATATTTTTGTTATAATATATTAACCTACCTTTAATACGGATATTCTTATTACATAATAGAGAAGCTAGATTTTTTTAAATAAATGCTGTTTAGTTAAAATTATTTTATGGAGAAAACCAGATATTTGGACCAAATGCACAAAAATATTACTTATTTGGCACCATCCACTTTAGAATTTCATTAAATGCAGTATTTATATTCTTACATTCTCAAACCATCCATTGTTATTGTAATGTTATAAAGATTTATAAATTTTTAACGCCAAAACATAATATTATTTCTTTCGTTGACTATACTTTGACAGATACATAACCTGAAAAGCCTTAAATGACAAATTTTCAAAAGACTGCGTTCCGTACGTGGTCACGTGGTGGGACTTTGAGGTGTGGAGCATAGTACAATGTTCCTTATCAGTCGTTATCAATAAGGAAAACTTGCTTAATCAGTGCTTATCAATAAGAAATTTCTCTTAGCGACGCGTTGCGCATGCCTACCCTTGTTACTGTTATCCTTAGCCGTTAAATCGTAAGCGATTTTTAATTTTTAAAAATCAGTGGTTTACCCCTCGCTATAAACATATATTTATTTTTTCTGCATATGCTTAAATGGGGTTTCAGTGAAATATCTTCAAAATTACAAAAAATACAATATGACTAGTACATATGTCAAAAAAAATGTGCAAACCCCCAATTTTGAATAAAATAAAAACAAACCTTTAAAATCGCTGTTAAACTAATTTCATGTATAGTTTTATGTTCCTCAATTAATTTAATCAACATTGCATCTATAATACTGAATAGTTTAATTGTGCTTTGTGATTTAAAATAACCTAAACTAACAACTGCCATATCTTCTATAGTCATATCATTTATTAGGTTTTCTAAGGCATATTCAAACTCAAAACTGACTTTTTTTCGTCGGCATATATTAAGAAGGAAAAAAGTATGGACTAGCTCATCTTTGGTTAATTTATCTGCTCGTTTGGGTAGATAATCAAGTACCTCAAATATGTACTCACATAGTTTACCTAAATAATAATTATAAATGTTTTTTAATGAAAAAAAATCTTCCAAAGAAGTCATTCCATATGAACTCCACAAATTTGAATTAAAAAGTGTGCCAACTGGGCAATTATTAAATATTAACTACATTTATAGAAAATTTTACATATTGCAGAAATATATTTAATATCACCAAAAGAATTATCCCCAGGGATCCCTATGGATGATTCTTTGGGTTATTTTAAGGATATTTCTGTAATTGGTACAATACATTTATTTTAATATAGGTAGTAGATATTTAATAATTGCCCAGTCATTGGCCAATCAACCGGAGTACCGTATTCGTATAAAAAATGTCCCGTAATTGCCCGGTTTCACGTTTCAGCTGATTTTTTTTTCAAAAGTAATAATTATTGTGAGTAAACAATAAAGACGCATGGTAGATACAAGACTTATTTCTACCATGACTAGACGCATAATGTCCAGTGTTTCGCTTCGCCGCATCATAAATTGGTTCATAAAGTCAAAAATCGAGGTGTGTTTTGTTTTATAAGGTCGAAAATCGCGTTTTGTTTTAGTACATGTCGAAAATCACGGTTTGTTTATGGACAACAATAATCCTGTGGATGTTGAACCAGTCATTTTTGTATATTTAACACTACTCTGGTTGGTCAATTTCAAACCTCTTCATTTATCAAACGAAGCAGTTTTGACATCTCTATTGTCATTACCATTAGCATTTTCACGGTGGGGCGTGAGCTCTGGACCATCCTGTACCTAATATTATTCACGGTTTAAATGTTTTGATTTTTTTTGTATAATTTTTTTTAACATTACAAATAGGTTTTCTTGAATAGTTAGTGTCACAGTTGAAATGGATTGACTTTATTGCAAAATACCCTTTTTTTATTTTGAATATCAATTTCTAAAAAAAATCAGGCCAGAAAGTTGGCCAATTATTGCCCAATGATGTATCACAATTTGAATTTAACAGAAATGGGCAATTATTGACCATTTATTGATTTCTATATGAATGGTCAATAATTGCCCATAAAGGCGTATCTGTGCCCAATAATTGCTCATTTTGAAATGTACAATTTTTGGGCAATTATTGGGTAGTTTGTGCTTATTGGGTTTGATTGGGTAGTAAATGTACATTTCATACTATAACAGGGTTGCCACCGATTTGTCTAAACCAAATTCCATGACTTTTCCAGGAATTCCCTGACCTTTCCTGATTTTTTTCCAGACAAAATGTGTCGACGCTAGCAGCAGTTTTCTTTTTGGTTTCCTGACCCTCAATGATTTTTTCAACTGGACTTTGAGTGTTGGTTTTTAAAATTTTAAGTATGGGACCATTCAAGTATTACATGTATACATAAGCAGTATTTTTGTAATTTTTAATTTTAAAAATCAAAGCAATCAAGCAGACTCCCCCCTTTGTTGCTTATGTAATAGGTACTTGAATTTATTTTTCTCTTGGTGGGGAATTATAACGATTAATTAAATAGCTGATTTTTTTGGTATAATTTTTAATTAAGGTTTTTGTTTCTTGGGTTTTTATTACATTAATTTTTTGTCCAATCTGAAAATAACAGAAATAATGAAATTTTTAAAAATGCCTCTTAAATTTTGTCTGCGGCAGGTCTTGTTTATCAAGTTGATGAGTTCTTATTAGTAAATATTTGATAGTACAAAAAAAAGATTTAATTTCCATCATTTTTTGCAGGAGCTGTTATTGAAGAAATTGATTTACTTTAGTTATTTTCTAAAGCAATATTATTATTAATATTATTATCCTGTAAAACTGTAACTTTTTCAAGCATACTCTCTAAAAAAGAATTAGTCAAAAATGACATATTTCAAAGTGGAAAAGCATGCTTTTTGACTTTGAAATATGTAATTTTTGACTAATTCACTGCAGTCACTAATAATTCTAGTCATTAGCAATTTGTATCCCGGATATTTAACAGCCAATTCTCATGTAAAATTGTCCCCTGAATCCGAAAAGACTGTCATAGCAGTTTTTGAGATATAGTCAATTCCATATTATATGGAAAATTGACTAAATCTTAAAAAATGTCCTACTTTTATAACTTTTGACGACATATTCGGATTCAGCAGACAATTTTACATAGGAATTGACTGCTAAATATCCGGGATACAAATTGCTGATGACTAGAATTATTAGTGGCTGATTTTTCGCTATGACAATTAGTCATGTTTAACTAATTCATTTTTACAGAGTAGTATTTTCCATCTGGTTCTTTTTTTTTAAGAAAATTTGACAAATTTGTGTTCTTCGTTGCCGAAATCCTTTTGTATGATTGCTTGCAAATCAAACATTTGGCTTGAAACGGTTTTTTATCAACAGAAACTATGATTTTTAAAAGTCTTTTACTGATTAATTAATTAGTGGGTAATTCCATTTATTAGCCACAAATGAGTGCACCTTATATCCTCTAATTTTAATGGAAATAATGGAGTTTGTTACCAAAGACCTTACTCTATATAAAAGCAATGAAAACATCTTCAAATAATATTGGCTAAGAGATCAAAAAAATATAATAAAAATTCATGTTTTCGAAAAATCACTATTTTCAGCCATTTCATGGTTTAAAAAGGCTCTGTTTGAGTGAGTCGATTTAAACCAATTTATGCTTATCATCACATTTTGCCAAATAATTGCATTTTTAAAAAAATTCCCAAAGATCATTTAGGGCATTAATAACTAAATGTGTCGTATATGGTTTAAAAGAGAAATATTTTCTTGACAATTAACAGTTTGTTTAATGTCCCATACAGCACCTAAAGCGAAAAATCGTCTAAAAGATTACTTATTTAAGTCATCTTTTAGTCATGACGAAAAGATGTCGAAAATTCGTCTAAAAGATGACTTATTTAAGAAATCTTTTTAGTCATGACGAAAAGATGTCTGTTATAAGGCATATTTACATGTCATATGAAAAGTCGTCTATATGATGACTGTACAATAGACTTGCTAAATTCCATATGATATAAATGACATCTTTAAGACGTGGTATATAATCACATACTTCCATTACTATACCACGATTGTTGGTTGTGTCATGCAAGCATACAGTATGAGAAGTATTCTTTTTCTATGGTACCTATGCGACTCACACTAATAATGTTAATATATGTTTATATTTTATATTCTGAGGCATATAATCACATATATCTCAGACAAGGAAAGAGAGGGACGTAATAGTCGCGACGAGTAGCTGTTCAATTTGGCACCATTTGCAAGCTCATTAATTATATATTTATATATACTTTTTTAATGCACGGTGACTAATGCTTTGTTTGCCACCATTAAAATGGCGGATCGGAAACATTTTCAAGCGAAGGTATATAATCACATACTTCCACAAGTAAAGCTGGATTTATAGTTTTAAAGCAATTTATAGTTCAGAAAGTACTGACGGCGCATGCGTACTTTAATGCAGATTGTAATTTTGTTTCTAAAATTTAATAGCAAAAGGTTAAGTTTTCTATAAAAACATGAATTCGAGGAAAATGCTGTGCTTCTGGGCCATATGGCGTTGTGCGAAATATTATATAATAAACCCTGCAACACAATATATTATATATACAATATATTATGTTGTATTGCAGGGTTTCAAGTACGTTATGGGGGTCGTCAAGTACGTCGCTATAAAACGAAGGAATTAAATCGGGAACGAGCTAAGAAACGCCATTTCCAGTATTAAAATAAAATAAAATTGACCGATAAAGAGTAGTTCTTTAAATACACAAATGACGGTGCCCATTTTTGACAAATTATCAAGTCTGGTTGCCCCTCGCATAAAAACTAAACTTACAAGGCGAGGCTGCCAACTGAAAACTGCCGTGTGATTGGCTGGAGTAGCGGTTGAGGTAAGAAAAGTTGATAGATGGTCATCTCTTGCCGCTACCTTCTTGCCTCTACCTCTCTTACCGCTACCTCTGACAACTATAAATTGTTTCGTACAATATTCAATGCCGAACTCGGCTACCGCTACCGCTACCTTTTCCTCTACCTTTACCGCTGCCTCTACCGTTACCTTTAAAACTATAAATCCAGCTTGTGTATATAATCATATACTTACCACACAGTAAGTATATGTATATAATCAACATTAGCGCCATCTCTATTAATATTGTCTAAACCATACGGTATGGCGGGAATACTTGTTATAGGCCGGTAGCAACATAAGCAGCTGACTGTTACGACGTTGCCGCCATATACCCATAGTTTTTGGAAGGAGCTCGTTTTGGGGAAATAAATATATTTATTATATATATATATATTATATTATAATATAAAATCGTTTAAATAGTATTAAAAAAAATATTTTATAATAAATAAAATTATCATTTAAGCATTTTTCCATAAACGTCTAAGATTTTTTCGAATATAATTTATAAAAATTATTTTATTAGAATACAGATGACTATAATCTGTGCACAAGCTGGCAACGCAAGTTTCTCATTGCACCGCCCAAAGAACGCCGGGTGACAAAATTATGCTTCTAGCAAAGGTGTTCTTTGGCTTCTAGTTTTGTGTTATTATTGTGTATATTTTTTTCTACTTTAGCAGACAAAAACTTGTATAGGTATATATTAGGGTGGCCCAAAAAAAAAGAATATTTTTTTTCTTCTCGTCTCTTGTGAAAATATGTTGGTTTTTCATGTTTTAAGAGCCCTGTCAAAAGATCAGCACCATTAAACATTTCTTAGGGGTCGCTCAAGATTTTTAAAAATTACCAAAATCGTCAAAAATTGGATTTTTTTTTATTTTAATTTTTTTTCTCGTTCCGATATTATTTTTTAATTTAAAAATAATAATGATTCTAAAAATTTCAAATATATATTTTAATTTCTAAAGGTCGCTCAAGATTTTTTTAACTTTCAAAGTAGACTATTTTGAATGTTTTCGAGCGACCTCTGAATATAAATATCAACGAACTTTTAGCGACCTTTAGAAATCAAAATATTGATTTGAAATTTACAGAATTTTTAT